TATATATATATATGAAAGATTAAATTAAAACTAATTTTTTTTAAAAAGGCTGCTACAATCCTTTCATTCTTTGAGAGGATCCCACTCATTCTGTGTGTGCAACTCTCACAGACTTTCTCTTAGTTCCTTAAAAGCATCATATACTGCCAAGCCACACGGCCTTTGCACAAACTGGCACCTACTCTGGAAATACTCTTCCTCCCGACTCACTTTACTACTTATTCTATTTACCCTTCAGATTGTAGATCCAGCATCCCTTGCATGAAGAATCTCTTCCTTATTTGAGGTTTAATCAAATCTATGTTAACATTCTTCTTATCCTCTTCTGAGTAGAATTTTAAGCTAATCTTCACTCCTTCACTAGACAATAAATAATCCCTCTGTCTACCCTACACTATATTTTTTCTTTCTTTCAATATTTCTTACATTGATTTGCATACAACATCCGTATATATTGTGTTTGACACTATCCTTCACTCACATTGTCTTTCATACAATCATTCTCATTCACTATATATTATAAAATCAATCATCATTGAACTATGCCCATCATGACTCTGTCTTTGCAAATCCCCGCTGGATCTTTCTCTTTTTCTTTATTCCCCACTGCCTACAAAATCGTGTGATCCTATGACTCCCCCTGCCCACCCTCACCCCTTTTCCCATCCCTTCCCCGCTTGGATTTCCATACGTGTTTTGCTATTTGACCTGCTATTACAATAATGGTCGTATGCAGTATTTGTCCTTATGAGACTGAGTTACCTCACTCAGCATAATGCCCTTCAGTCTCACTTAAGTTATATAGTAATTTTTAAAATCGTTGTTCCTGAGGGCTGTTGTAGTATTCCATCATACCCTGATGTTGTTACAGGCTGTTGATTCACCTGTGACTCATAGCAACCCTATGTACAATAATTCCAAATACTGCTTTATCTTGAGCCAATCTCATCATCTCTGATGCATCTAATCCCATTTACCCAGCACTGAGTCAATCCATCTCATCCAGGGTCTTCCTCTCCTGTGTTGTCCCTCCAACCTTCCAAGCACGATGTCCTTCTCCAAGGACTGGTCTCTCCTGGCAAAGTATGTGCGACAGAGCTTCACAGTCCTTGCCTCCAAGGAGCAGCTTTGTATCACTCTCACCAGAGCAGACTTGCTTGTTCTCTTGGCGGTTCAACACTCTTCTCCAGCACCACACTCAAAGGCATGGACTCTCCTTCTATCATCTTTACTCATTGTCCAACTCTGTATATCCCATCAGAATTTAAAAACCATATCAGGAACAGGTTTGAAATCTTGAATACTAATGAATGAAGACCAGTCAAACTGGGAAGATATCAAGAATATCATCCAGGAAGAATGGAGATGGTCAATATAAAGACAGAGCAGAAAAGACAAAGATGGATGTTAGAAGAGACTGAATATTGCCTTAGAATGTCAAGAAGTGAAAGCAAAGGAAAGAAATCAAGAAGTTAAGGAGCTGAACAGAAGATTTCAGAGGGCAGATCAGGAAGACAAAGCAAAGTATTATAATGAAATGTGCAAAGAGTTGGAGTCAGAATATCAGAAGGAACAACCTTGCTCAATATTTCTGAAGCTAAGGAGCTGAAGAACAAGTTTAAGCCTCAATTTGCAATACTTAAGGATGCTATGGGCAGAATATTGAATGATCCAGGAAACACCAAAAGAAGATGGAAGGAATACACAGTAACTGTACCAAAAAGAATACACAGAAGAATTTCATAAACCAAAATATGATTAAGAGGCAATCTTGATGAAGAAATCCTAACTGCTCTGAAGGAATTAGTGAAAGATAAAGCACAGGCAAACAGATGCAGCCCTGGACATGCCCTCTTGGTTGTGCCTAGAAATCTGGAAGACAAGTACCTGGCCAATTGACTGGAAGAGATATATCTTTATTCCCATTCAAAAAAGAGGTGACCTGTCAGAGATACTGAACAGTATCACTAACATTACATGCAAGCAAGATCCTGCTGAAGATTATCCAAAAACTATTGGAATATCAGCATAGAACTGCCAGATGTGCATGCTGGTTTTAGAAGAGTATAGCTTTTCATAATATTCCAATAATATAGATTTAATTTCCTCCGATTCTGTTGTGATGTCACCTCTATCATTGCCTATTTATTTGTGTCTTCTCTTTTTTCTTTTGTTAAGTTTGCCGAAAGTTTGTCAATTTTATCGACCCTTCTGAAAAACAAGCTCCTGGCTTTGTTGATGGTTTAAAATTATTTTTCTAGGGGAGCTCTGGTGGCCTAGTGGCAAGGAGCTGCAACTACAATCCTAGAGGAGCACAGTTTGAATCCACCAGATGCTCTGCGGGGGAAGGAGGAACAATCTCCTCCTGTACCAGTCAGATCTGATTTGACGGTACACTCACACAAAAATAATAAAAGAAAAAAAATTTAAAAAATTATTTTTCTGTTTTCTATCTCACTGATTTCAGCTCTTGTCCTTATGATTTCCTTTCTTCTAGGGCTGTGGGAATTAGATTGTTGTTCTTGTCCCATTTGATTGAGGTGATGAGTTAGATAATTAATTTTGCTGCTTTCTTCCTTTTTTATGTATTTTTTTCTACTGCTATGAACTTCCCCCTGAAGACTGCCTTAGCTGCATTCCAGATCTTTTGGTTTATTGTACTTTTTATTATCATTTGTTTCAAGGAGGGGTTTTTTGGTGTTTTTTTTTTAATCGGAAAATACACATTATCCAATATTTGATAAAACCAAGAAAAAATACAAAGATACAAAAGGGACTAAGAAGGGAGTAGTCTCTTTGTTGGCAGAGCACAAGGACTGAGTCACCTGAGTAGCTACAGCCTGCGGGGTGGGGAGGGAGCTGACGGGAGGGTCTGGTCCTTGGAGCCGGCTGGTCCACAGTTCCTGTCGGACAGAAAATTCTTCTCGAACGTGGAGCCTCAGGCACTGAACCGAAAAATGGAGTCCTTATTAAGGACACCGTTATCTCGAAGAGTGATTTGTCTCAACATTTCTCAGGGAAAGGGCAATTAAAAATCTGTTCTCCGGCCGCGCCGCTCCTGCCCCAGGCCAACGCGCGAAGAGCCCGGTGCTGAGTGTGGCCGCCGGAGGATCAAGGAGCTTTTAAACACCATTCTTTATTTCTTCTGTAACCCAATCATTTTCTGTTGTTGTTTTATCATAGAGTTATAACCGACCCATAGCTGACCCTCAGGAAGGTGTTCCGAGGCAGTTAATCACACAGAAGGAAATTGCCCATCCTCCAGCGAAGTAGCTGGTGGCCTTGAACCGCTTGTATTTGGGATTGCAGCACAGCTTCTTGCTACTAGACCACCAGAGCTCAATTGCGTTTTAACAGGGTCTTATTTAGCTTTCACATGGGTGATTTTATAAGTTATATCCTCTAGTCATTAATTCTAGTTTTATGGCATTGCAATCTTAAAATTCTTTTTATTATTTCAATGTTTTTAATTGATATTTGAATGTTTTGAATGTTGTTGTTGCTTTGTGTCTTGATGAATCCTGAAGAATGAACTATGTGCATGCAGTTGAGAAGAAGTAAATTGACTTTTAGTAGGGTATAGTACTTGAAGATTAAGGTGGCTGATTGTATAGTTTAGATCTTGCACATCTTTGTTAAATTTCTTTCACAGAGACCTATCCTTTGGTGGCAGGGGTGTTTTCAAGTCTCCTACCACTATTGTGGTGCTGTCTGTTACTTTCTTCAATTCTGTTAATCACCTTTGATATATTTTTCAGGTCTATCATTTGGTGCAAATATGTTATCCAAAGTTATGTCTTCTTGATCCACTGTGTCTTTAATCATTATATACTGTCCTTTCCTGTCTTTCATGGTAATTTTCATCCTGAAATCTATTTTATCAGAGATTAGCATTGCCACATCTGTGGATGCCATTTGCTTGGAATTTCTTTTCCCCAGCCTTTCATTTCTGTCCTATCCTTCACCTCATTTCTTAGATGCAGCACAGCTTCTTGCCACTCTTAGATGTGTCTCTTGTAAGCAACATATTGATGGACTTTGTTATTATCCATTCTGCTACTCTTTTTCTATTCATTGAGGGACTTAGTCCATTCACATTAAGGATGATTATTGAGAGGCCAGGTTTTATTGTCACCATTTTTCTGTGTTTCTTTTTCTGTCGTTTATCATTATCCATCCACTTTCCTTTCATGTTTGAAGTATTGTCCTTAAAATTTCTTGTAGGTTTGGTCATGTTTTCACAAATCCCTTAAGTTCCTTCTTGCATGCAAATGCCCCGATTCCTCTTTCATGTTTAATGGACTTCTTTTCTGAGTACAGGATCATTGGCTGGCAATTGTTTTCCTTCAACTTTCTGTATATGCCATCCCATTTTTACATTGTTTCTGCTGAAAAATCAGAACATAAACTAACTGCTTTTCCTTTGTAGGTGACTCTGTTTTTTCATGCTGCTTTTTGTAATCTATCCTCATCTTTTATTTTGGAGAAATGTCTTGATGTTTTTCTTTTTGAGTTTAGTCATTTGGTGTTTGCTGAGCTTCTTAAATGTGGATTTCTCTGTTCTTCCTAATACATGGGAAGTTTTCCTCTAGTACCTCTTCCACAGTATTCGCAGAGGTTTCTCTGTCCCTTTTGTGTTCTGGAATTCCAATTACACGGATGTTCCTTTTGATGTCATCCCTCATGATTCTAATGGTTTCTTTATATCTCATCTCTGATTTTTCTTCTACGATGTCTCTTTTGAGGTTCGTGGTTTCCAGCTCACTGACTCTCTGTTCCATCTCTTCTGTTCTACTTTTTCCCCCTTCTTCAGCAATTTGAACAGTTATGCCACTTAGATCTTAATATTCTGGATTGCATTTTAATGCATTTATTTTATTTCTAGTACTGTGTTGGCTGTACCCTTTCCATTTTGAAATTTTTTTTTAAGTTCTTGTTCCTTTTTACCTATAGTTTCAATTCTTCCTTTCATCTTTTGCATTTTTCCCCCCATAGTTGTTAAAGTTACTCCTCATCAATATATTTCTTCTGGCTCCCTGTCTCTGGAGTATTCACTGTTGTGTTTTTTTTTTTTAGTATTCACTTTCTTAATGGATTCCATTGTTTCTCCTATCTTTTTTGAAGGTCCTGTTCAAATATCTCTTCACCAATATATGGTTCTTTTTCTCTTATTTCTGGTTTCTTTTGTTTCTTCCATTATCTGCACTTTCTTCTGTAGCTGTTCATATGACTCCATTGTCAATATATATCTTCTGACTCCCTGACTCTGGAGTATTTATTATATTTCAATACACTCTGCTTTTATGGGAGAAGGTTAAATTTGTGTGTGGGGGGAGGGGGCCTGTGGGGATGTTTGAAGCTGCCTGCTGCTTTCTTGACATTATGTGACGTTTTTCTCGATAAGTGTTAGCCAATTTCTATTGTTTCTACGTAAGTTGTTGATAGGGAGCTCTGGTGGCCTAGTCGCAAGAAGCTGCACAGTAAATCCAAAGGCATGTAGTTTGAGGCCACCAGCAGCTCAGCAGAAGAAATATGGGAAATCTCCTCCTGTGTCGTTAACTGCCTCTGAAAACTTGCCACAGGGTAGCTATTGGTCTGTTCCACCTTGACAACAACAAGAAGTTGTTGATAGTTCTTATCTTTAAGATATCATTGTCACTGAGGCCAGCTTAAAATGTTCAATTTATGGAGTGTGCTACTATCTGTCCTGTAGGTCCTTACTGGAAAATTTTCCTTTCTTAAAGTCTTTTAGGTTCTCTCTGGTCTGCAGTGAAGCTCTGCAGACATCTCACCTTATTGTAGTCCCTGCTCCTAAATTCTATTGTCCTTCTTTGTCTGTGGAGTAGCAGAGTAGAGAACAAGTGCTCCACTTAAACAGATTCTGTCCAGGGGGGCTTTGAAGGCAGCTTTCTTTCTAGAACCTCAGCATGCCAGCTGTGAAAGGGAGTCTTTCCCCTGCTTGTTGCTCCCTGTCTCAAAGTCTATTGTCCTCTTTGGTTCCTGAGATGGCTCCACAGTGGCAGGGATCCCCAAATGGAGGAATCTTTCTCCAAGAGCATCTTTCTTAATTTTAAACTATGTAGTGTTCTCTTGTTCAGTTCACACAACAACAGTCTCTTGGTCTAGGCTTTGCATGAGCATTATTAAGTGTACTGTGATTCTCATTCTGATAGATGACCATGATGTAACATTATGTTAGATAGAGAAGACAAATTGCCAATGATTTCACCTTATTTGGACTCACAATCAACAACTTTGGTACTTACAATCAGGAAATCAAAAGTCATATTACATTGGGAAAGACTGCAATCTTACAATATTACATTGGGAACACTCCAACCTCTTCAAAATCCTGAAGAGCAAGGATGTAATTCTAAAGACTAAAACGCACCTCATCCAAGCCATGGTCTTTTCAATTACTTCCTATTCATCAGAGTGTTACACAATGAATAAAGATGACAGAAGAATTAATGTCTTTGAGTTGTGGTGCTGTACAAGAGCACTAGATATTCCATGGACATCCAAGAAAAACTCTTAATATGTCTTGTAGAAGGTGCAGACAAGTTGCTTCTTAGAGGGAAGTGTAGTGAAACTTCACCTCATATATTTTGGGTGTGTTGTTAGGAGAGTCCACTTCTTCGGAAAGGACATCATGCTCATAAAAGTAGAGTCAACAAAAGAGGAAAAGATCCTCAATGAGATAGATTCACAGTGACCACCATAATGAATGCAAATGTGGCAGAGATGAGTACGATGGTACAGTATAGAGCAGGGTTCAGATCCATCATTGAAAGAGTTATTATGGGTCAAGGTCAACTCAATGGCACCCAACAACAACAGCCATCCCATGAGTCAACAGAAGTCCCTAGCCTGCACTTGAGTTACAGGTTTGAATTTTGCCAGTCCCACAATCAAATGCATTAGCATCTCACCATATTTATTCTACTTCGCACCATCCATTGTTGTTGTTGTTAGATTCTATAAAGTCAGTTCTGATTCATAGTGATACATAATAGAACACAGTCTGGTCTTGACCATTTTCACAATTATTTCTATGCTTAAATTCATTATTGTAGCCATTTTGCCAATCCATATTGTTGAGTCTTTTGATGACCCTCTGCTTTATCAAACATCCTGGTAATATGTCCACAGTAAGTAAAACAAAGTCTCATCTTCCTCTCTTTTAAGGAGCATTCTTGCTGTACTACTTCTGATATACCATGGTATACTCAATATTCTTCACCAGTATCTTAGTTCCAAGAAGAAAAAAAAATAATTTTTATTCTTCTTTATTAGTTTATATCTTCTTTATTCATTGTCTAATTTTTGAACACTTATGGAGAAAGTGCAATCAGGATGCTCTTTGGAGGAAAAGATGGTGACACTTCATCTCACATACTTTAAGTATGTTGTTAAGAAGGACCAGTCCGGACCCTTTCTACGAAGATGGCACCGAAAGCAAAGAAGGAAGCCCCTGCCCCTCCCCAAACTGAAGCCAAACCAAAGGCATTGAAGGCCAAGAAGGCAGTCCTGAAGGGCGTCCACAGCCCAAAAAAAAAAAAAAAGAAGATCTGCATGTTACCCACGTTCCAGCGGCCTAAGACGCTGAGACTCTGACGGCAGCCCAAATACCCCCGGAAGAGCGCTCCCAGGAGAAACAAGCTTGACCACTATGCCATCATCAAATTTCCCCTGACCACTGAGTCAGCTATGAAGAAGATAGAAGATAACAACACACTTGTGTTCATTGTGGATGTCAAGGCCAATAAGCACCAAATTAAACAAGCTGTAAAGAAGCTCTATGACATTGATGTGGCTAAGGTCAACACTTTGATTAGGCCTGATGGAGAGAAGAAGGCCTATGTTCGACTTGCTCCTGATTATGATGCTTTGGATGTTGCCAACAAAATTGGGATCATCTAAACTGAGTCCAGCGGGCTAATTCTAAATGTAATAAATTTTTCTCACCATAAAAAAAAAAAAAGAAGGACCAGTCCTTGGAAAAAGACATTATGCTTGGAAAGGGGGAGGCTCAGTGTAAAAGGAGAAGACCCCCAATGAGATGGATTGGCATAGTGACTTCAGCAATGGGCTCTAGTGTGTCAGAGATAATGAATATGGCACAGGATAAGGTAGGGTTTGGAGCTGTGGCTCCTAGGGTTGCTATGACTTATATAGTCAACTCAATGGCACCTAACAACAACAATAGCATAATGCAATTGAAAATATGTTTTTTAATTATTGAATTTTATTAATTTTAATGAACATTTACAGAGATTTTGGGTTTTCATTCACTGTTGCACTATTTTCTCTACCCTCCTCCCCAATTCGTTCTTCTTTTTTTTCCCCCCCTGAAAGTCTGTTTTAATTGTCCAATTGCCACAGTGCTTGTCAAAGCCAGTTCTGATTAATCTCCTTTGTCAGTGTGTCCTTTGCCACTCCCTATCACTCCTCCCTGAGAGAGACTGCACCCTGATTCATAAGGAAAAGGGGATGGTGTATTCTCTTAGCTACTTCCTGCTGAAGAAAATATCATGTTTTTTGTCAAGTGCACCTAAATCATCTGTGCTTTTTAACATTTTAAAGAGTTGACCAATGAAATATGTTATCATGACTGTTAATTTCATGGAAATTGATCTAAATAAAATTAAATCCTTTACAATTTCAATTATTTTCTCCATCTATCATGATGTTGATTAGTCCAGTTGTGAGGAATTTTTTTTTATGCAGAAGTGTAATATATGCTGAATGTCAATCATACTTAAACTTCAGCAGTAAATGCTTCAAGTGCTCTTTGCTTTCAACAAAGTTGTGCCATCTGCATATTTCAAGTTGTTAATGAGTTTCCTCTTAATCTTCCAAGAAGATGCCACATTTTCTCCATATAGTTCAGATTATTGGTTTAGCATATAGATTGAATAAATATGGAAGAAGAATACACCCTGATGCACACCTTTCCTGATTTTAAACCATTCATTGTTCCCTCGTTCTCTTTGAATAATCTTGTGATATTTGTAAAGGTTCCACATAGACACAATTAAGTGTTCTGAGATTTCTGTTCTTTGCAGTGTTATCCATGATTTGTGATTTTCCTGTAAAATACCCATTCATAACTAGTAAAACACCAGTCAACATCTTTCTGGTATTCTCTGCTTTCAGCCAAGACCCATCTTACATCAGCAATTATATCCTTCCTTCCACATCTTGTTTTGAAACTGGATAGAATTTTTTACAGCACTCTATGAATGAAAAACTATACTTACTAATTTTAAAAATTATCTTGGGCAAAATTGTGCTTACATGTGATATTAATGATGTTATTTGGTAACTTCTGCATTTCATTAGACCACTTTGGGCATGTTGCTAGGAGTAGTTATTCCTTGGAGAAGGACATAATGTTTGGGAAGGTGGGGGTGGCAAAACCCGGGAAGACCTTCCAGCAGGTGGTTAACTGTTGACTGTGGCAATGGGTGTAAGAGTGTGTCAGAGATTGTGAGGATGACATCGGATAGGAAAGTATTCATATCAGTTATTCATAGTGTTCCTCTGAGTCATACTTGGCTGGACAGAAACTAACAACTACAACCGTGGAATGGAAATTGATTTGTAGCTGACCTCCCAGCCAGTTTTTAGAGGCACTAAATTACATGGAAGATCAAGCATCTTTCTCCTGCAGAGTAGTTGGTAGATTCGAATTCCATTTGTTTGGGCTGGCAGTACCACTCCTTACCACTAAGCCACCAGAGCTCCCTATATCTAACTATGGTGAGGGTTACAAAATTGCTTAAATTATCAAAAATCATTGAATTCTACACTTAAAGTGGGCAAATTTTATAGTATGTGATTAAAAAGTATGGGGGGAGGGGGAGAAGAGAGTCAGAGCATGACCTGCCACTGCACTACATATTCTAAATATTTACAAGTGCTTGTTGGAGGAGGAGCTAGGAAAAAGAGAGAAGATAGTTGATAAAGCCCAGGCCTAAGTACCAAAACTAAAACTCAAATTTACTGCCATGGATTTAATTCTAACTCAGAGCAATGCAATATGACAGATTAGGACTGCCTCTCTGGGCAATAATCTTTCTATAAGTAGAGGGTTTCTTTCTGTCATGTGGAGTTGATGAGTTCAAGTCACCAGCCTCCTTGATTAACAGTCAAGCACTGTGCCACTAGAGCTCCTAAGTAGCAGGGAAAACAAAGCAGAAGGAAATTAACTTAAATGAAAGATAGGACTTCTCTCTGAACTAGAAAGAAAGAATGAATGAATGTGGATGCTGAAACTTTATAGCTTTGTGCTAGAAAACTAACAATGATTCTTTTCTTTTCTCTGAGCAAACAGGGCCTTTGACTGGAAAGCTATACATATAGTAAAGACAGAAGTAAAATGGAAAAAGTTGCAGGAGACTTAATACAAAGAGTAAAATATTAGTGAAAATCTAACTTTAGAACATGAATCAGTTTTTACAAAATGAGACAGAGTTGTAGTGAAGGAGTTGTAGTGGCCTAGGCCATAACACTGCCAACCCAAAGATTAGAGTCCATCACCTGCTTCTAGGGGAAAAGATCATCTCTTCCTATGCCTTTTACAGCCTTTGAAAACCCACTGCAGGGTCAGCTATGAAGCAGTTCCAGTTCTACAGCAATGACTTTTTTTTTAAGTTCTTCCAATAGCTATACATTTTACTTTCTTTTCATATCCTTAAATATAAGAGGCTTAAAGCTTATTGGGAGTTATGAAGAACGTAGCTAAGATCATGAGGAGGTTAACTGGTAGACAAATATGGATATTTTCTTTCCTTTAATGTGCTTTGCAATCTTAGGTCCTTAGACCAAATATTCAATAACCTTTGATACAGCAGTTGTTTGTTTGTTTTTATGTGGTTCATGGTATCACAAATTTGTAGCATGAGATTCTATAACTCTTGAAGCAGTGAAAAGGCAGAAATTAATGTTCCTATGTTGATGCAATTGCTTGTTTCATTGGTAATAAAAACTTAGCCTTGCATAAAAATTCACATTAAGAACATGAATTTCACATGGTGAAAAGGATTGAAATTGTCCATTACATATATATATATATATATATATATATATATATATATAAAATCTACATAATGAAATTGGTTACTTGAGTAATCAAGATAATGCCAAGAGAAAGAAAAGAAAAAACCACTTCCCTTCCTTGGGGAGGGAGCCCTGACAACTTAGTGGGTAGGGAGTTACCCTCTCAACCCTGGTGGTTTGAATCTACCAATGGCTTTGAAAAAGCAAATGAGCGCACACACACACACACACACACACACACACACACACACACACCCCCTTGAGCGATTTACAACCTCTGGAGGGTCAGCTTTACACGGTTTTGACTCATAGCAATGAGCTAGAGGCTTCTTTCCCCTTGATTGCAGTTCAGTACGGATTGTGGTCAGTTCAGTACGGATTGGGGTTTGTGTGAAGGAATAGGAAAGACTCAATGGGACTGGAGACTGGGTGATAATAGGCAGAGATCAATAGTAATTAATTTTATAAAATACAAGGTATATGGATGTATAAAACATAAGGTGCATGAATGAAACAACGTATTATTGTGTACAACAAAATGTACATGAATGAAACATAATGCATGACTGATCGTCTGTAAACCAAAACAAATATATAGACAAAAGCGGCAAAAAAAAAAAAAAGAGTAATAGTGTGGAAATTACATTCTTGAGTTGTAAATGGAACTTTCCCGCCAGTGTGCCAAACTGTTACCTTGGGCAAGTTATTGGTTTGACTTGATGTTCCAGTAGGTCAGTAATACATATCTCGTCAAGCGTTTCACCTTTCAAAGATTCCACAATAGGCGGGGGGGGGGGACACCCCCCCAATCTTTTTAAGCTTTGTTATCAGCACAAATAAAACAGTAACTTGCATTTCACGACAAGGCTATCTACTAAGACTTTCTCTGCGAGGATGTTTTGGTTTTTCACTTCTTAAAAGTACATTATGAAGTAACAAGTACGCGGAGGAAAAGTGGAAGCATTTCCAATGTTCAACTCAAATCATTTCCTCGGAATGACAGCATTACTCAAGAA